CCCCTCTTCAGCCCACAGGCCCTTCTTCTAAGCTAGGATCCTTAAATTTACTAATTGCTGGCTATATGATAGCTATGGAAATAACACTGTAATAAGAGCACTTTGTACATATTATCTCATTACTCTCACCAACCTATCAAGGGGGCATTTTAACCCTATTTCACAGATTAATGAATTAGAAGTGGAAAGAAGTAGCCGGGCATTCTGGCGGGTGCCTATAATGTAATCTCAGCTATTTGGGAGGCTGAGGCAAGAGGATCTCTTGAGCCCAAGAGTTTGAAGTTGCTGTGAGCTATGACGCCACAGCACTCTACCCAGAGTGACAAAGTGAGACTGTCTCAAAAAAAAAAAAGTTGGAAGAACTTAGGTATCTTACTCAAAGCTGCAGAAGGAATGATGGAGCTAGAGTAGACTGGCTAGGACTATGTCAAGCTGCTTCTAAGTCCTCCTCTTGAGCAGTGACAGTGGCTAGCTCCAACAAGTCTCTCATCTACTATTATCGGCTGAATTATCTATCTTCAAACTTCTTTAAAACCAAGAGTTTTTCTACTCTTTGGGTCCCTGACAGCATCTTAGTCTGGTCTCACATTAAAACTGTCCTTCCCGGCTCAGCGCCCGTAGCACAGTGGTTACGGTGCCAGCCACATACACTGAGGGTGATGGGTTCGAACCAGGCCTGGGCCAACTAAACAACTGCAACAAAAAAATAGCCAGGTGTTGTGGCGGGCGCCAGTAGTCCCAGCTACTTGGGAGGCTGCAGTAAGAGACTCGCTGAAGCCCAAGAATTTGGGCTTGCTGTGAGCTGTGCCGTCATGACACGCTACCAAAGGCAACACAGTGGACTCTGTCTCAAAAAAAAAAAAACATCTGTCCTCCCCACATGCTCCTGCTGTATGACCCCAGCAGAGGTTGCTCTTGGCTTTCTCTTTGCAGGGGATCTCTCATGTCATCTACCTCCTACACAGAATAAGCCCAAGAGTTTGAGGTCGCTGTGAGCTATAAAATTGTGTTTCATAAGCCAGTGGTTCTCACAGTGTGGTCCTAAGACCCCTTCACGAGGTCCATAGGTCGAAACTATTTTCATCACAATTTTGTTTTGTTTTGTTTTTCTTTTGTTTATTTTTACTGTGTAGAACATTTGTTCCAATGGTGCAAAAGCAACTGTGAAAAACACAGCTGTTGTCTTAGCATAAATCAGAGTAGTGGCACCAAATTGTGCTCGCACTGTATTCTTTTCCATCACACACTCATTGTTAAGACAAATGCCACCTTCACAGAAGGTCCTCAATGAAGTAGTACAATTTATTAAGTCTCAATCATTAAGTACAGGTCTTTTAATGTTGTCTGATGAAACAGTAAGTATACATGAAATGCCATGCTGCATACCAAAGAACAATGGTTGTCTTAGATAATAGTTAGAGTTGAAAGATGAACTAGCTGCTCTTTTTATGAAATGCCTGTAATCCTAGCACTCTGGGAGGCCAAAGTGGGTAGACTGCTTAAGCTCAAGAGTTGGATACCTGCCTGAGCAAGAGTAAGACCCTGTCTCTAAAAAACAGCCAGGCATTGTGGTGGGCACCTGTAATCCCAGGTACTTGGGAGGCTGAGGCAAGAGGCTCACTTAAGCCCACGAATTTGAGGTTGCTATGAGCTATGCTGCCACGGCTGTCTCCAAAAAAAAAAAAAAAAAAAAAATTGTGTTAATTATAAAGTTGACATCTTATGGCTTTTCTGATAAGATCAATGGTGATATTAGTTATTTGCAGCCTTGTAACCTCTGTTCCATTTTCCCATTGTCCTGGCATTTCACACTAAGATAGTAAGCTCTAGAAGGGGAGGAACTACTTAAAACTTGTCTGTGTCCTCTTTAAAACTTAGAACTGATTTATACACCCAATAGTCGTTAGGTAAATATTTGTGGGCTATCTTGTTATTCTGACTCCTGGTATTAGAAAGTGTGTGTGTGTATATATGTGTGTCTGTGTATGGATGTACATACAAGTACATACACACATACATTGAATTCATAAGTAATTCAGACTCCTTGTGACTCTGTTAATGTTCTTTAGTTCACTATTTTCTATATGACCTATTGAAAATTTTTCATAATATTTTTTGGTAACTGCAAAAATAAGTATAGTATTTGCTGTAAAATTTATCCAAATAATCAAAATAATTATTTCTTTTAACAAATATTAATGACTACCCATGGGTCTAAAGCAGAGGTTGGCAAAGTAAAGCCTGTGATGAAAATCCAGCCCACTGTCTAATTTTGTAAATAAAATGAAGTTTTATTGGGCCACAGACTTGTTCATTCACTAACATGTTATCTGTGGTGGCTTTTATGTTACAATAACGGAGGTGCAACAGAGACCAGATAGCCCACATACGTGTAAGTATTTGCTATCTGGCCCCTTTATAGAAAAACTTTGCCCACCTCTACTTTAACTTAGTAGTGGTTCTCAACCTTCCTAATGCTGCGGCCCTTTAATACAATTGCTGTGGGTCATGATCCACAGGTTGAGAACCTCTGACTTAGACCATGAATCTTCTCTCCTCTATCACTCCCCACCCTCTCCTCACACACTAAAGGAATTCTGGGCCAGCTCACATCTGTAATCCTAGCACTCTGGGAGGTCAAGGTAGGTGGGCTGCTTGAGCTCAGGAGTTCGAAACCAGCTTGAAGAGGAGTGACAACCCATCTCTACTAAAAATAGAAAAACTAGCCAGGTGTTGTGCCAGCTGCCTATAGTCCCAGCTACTCAAGAGGCTGAGGCAAGAGCATCTTTTGAGCCCAAGAGTTTGAAGTTGCTGTAAGCTATGACATCATTGTACTCTACCCAAGGCAACAGAGTGAGACTATCTCAAAACAAAAGAAAACCAAACAAAAAAGGAAATATGTTGCTAAAACACTGAGGAGTCTTCAAAGGGAATCCTACTAATCTTCCAGGAAGCTTATGTTCCAGCTCTTCTCTTTTATGGTTTAAGATTGTATTACAACTTTTATCCAAGCCTATCTGCCAAAACTAAATATCTATCATCACCAAAAATATATTTCAAATCAGGTCAGGCAGGGTTAAAACATTTAGAGGTCAACCACTGAAAAGACTATGGGTGATATCTGCTGCTAACTATTAACTGGTATGGAACTGGCCTTCCTGACATGAGTGACCAGAAAGCTGGACAAAATATATAAAACACTGGCTTTCAGATAATGGGACGATGGCAGGAAAGACTAAAATTATTGCCAAAAGGGATACAGAGAAGTCTTGCAATTGCCCTCCCTCCCTGAGTCTTAAAGGACTGAAGAGACAGTGGAGTTCAGGGGGACTGAGGCAGCAGAGATTTTGCCAGGTAGTACACTGGAAGGGAGCCATGCAGATAAAGAGCTCTCAGAATCTGTACAGAGATATGCTTAGTCTGAAGGTGAATCCTAAGATTGGGGTCCTCAGACTTTTTAAACAGGGGGCCTATTCACTGTCCCTCAGGCCATTGGAGGGCCAGACTATGGGCCCTGGGATGAGTCAGCTGCTAAGCAGGACAGGCAGCAGCGGCAAAAACACCAGGCAGGCCGGATAAATGTCCTAGGCGGGCTGCAGGCTGTCGTTTGAGGATGCCTGCCTAAGATGCTGAGGCCATAGGATTGGGAGACACTCAATTCTATCCAGCCAGAGTAGAGAGCACTAACTGAACCTTCAAGGCAATCAACAGACACTCCAGGAGGGCCAAGCTTTGCAACAAGGCTAAATTGGCCCTAACATAAAGGCTACACTAAACGTGTGCTAACAAAGCTGAACAACAGGCCTAGAAAGATTAGCCTAGCCCACAATTACTTAGCTGCCCACCAAACTTCAACACTCTTTAAAGGAAGACCACAAATACTCAAGAATAGAATTTACACAAAGTCCAGGTGAAGAAGCAGCAATTGACAGAGACGACAGAATTAGCAGAGAAGAATATTAAAACAACTCTTATAAACATGTTCCATGTACTCAACAATCTAAAAGAAAACGTGAACATAATGAAATTTAAAAAAAGGGACAAAATACATGTAAAAGATTCCATTTAATTCTTTGTTAAGTCTTCAACAGCTAAAAAATGTAGTATCGGAAACTAAAAATTCATCCGATAGAATTAAGAGGAGATTAGACACCACAGCAGACAAGGAGAAGCAAACTATTCAAACTAAGGCTAGAGAGCAAAAAGACAGGGAAAAAATCAACCAAGTCACAGTGATTTATGGGACAATATCAAGCAATCTACCCTACATGGAACTGGAGTTCCAGAAGGAAAAGAAAACAGAGGAACAGAAAAATATGTGAACGAGGAATACCAGAAATTTTTCCAAACTGGATAAAAACTGTTAAGCCCAAAATAAGACCATCAGACAAGATAAACAAGGAAAATCACAGCAAGGCATACACATCACAAATTGCTCCAAACCAATGCCATTAAAAACAAAACCAAAATGATTGTGTCCCCCCCCCAGTTCCATATATAATGTAAAGTAAAACAATTCTAACCAAAGGAAGTGTCTTTCTAGATCTTCTAATTGAAAAAACGTAGATATAGTTCATCAAGTTGAACTTTTCTTGTTGTAGAGGCCTTCTTTTACCAGCCTGCCCAATGTAAGTGTAATCTATTGAAAAATCAAACATGAACAAAGCATAAAGCACAGGAGAATAACAACATCATAACGCATTCCTATACCTCATGCTCACAAACATCATGTACTTTAGATTGCATGTTCCTTGAAGTCAGGAACCTGCGTGTCTTTGCCTATACATTTCTAGTGCAGTTGCTAGCGGCGCCTAACTGAACACACCTGAATGAGCCGCTCTCACTGCACCCTTAGAACACTGCTGTGTAGAACAAGATGAAAAAACAGCTGCTCGGAGAGATTAAATGATTGTCCCAAGAATACTAACAGGCATCTTTAGGGTACGATCACCACAGAGAGTCACCTCACAGTAGACACGAAAGTATTAAGTATTACTTACTCTGAGTTTCCACAAGATCCAAAGCAACACTAGAAGCTGTGTCCATTCCAGAGTTGATACACGCTTGGAAGTTTTTTAACGAGGAGAGAGCCGACTCTACACCGCTGAAGGATATGAAACCAGTTGAACCTGAATTGGAATTGGAACTGGAGCGCCCTGGCATCTTGATATTATTACCTAAGTTTTCAAACACAATGAAACGAGATTTGTAAGGCAGAATATTAACTGTATAGGAAAATAAAACAACTGTAAACATCCACAGAATATATCCAATATCCAACCCATGCCAGAGAATTATCTAGATCCTACATCCCTCAAGAGGATACCAAACCAACATGCCATCATCTTGGCTACCCAACACTGATGTACTCAATATAGGGGAGAGTAACTATTCTCTCTTTTCAATAGCACATCTCCATAAAAGATAAATGGGTAAATAAAAAGTAGACCACTCAGATGATGTATTTTTAAAAAACAAATGAAAATAATAAGATACTCTAATAAGGCAAGATTTTGAAAACTTATCATGTTTAGCTTGTCTGATACACATAGAACTCTGAAAACTATTAAATATATATGTATATACATATATATATTATATATATATAAAATATATTCCTACCAGGTCCTCTAGGTTCTGACAAATTTATACATTTAATAAAATTCCAGGTCCAGTAAAAGTAAAATTTCTTTTTTTTTTTTTTGGACAGAGCCTCAAGCTATCCCCCTGGGTAGAGTGCCATGGCATCACAGCTCACAGCAACCTCCAACTCCTGGGCTCAAGGGAGTCTCCTGCCTCAGCCTCCCAAGTAGCTGGGACTACAGGGGCCTGCCACAACGCCCGGCCATTTTTTTGGTTGCAGCCATCATTGTTGTTTGGCGGGCCTGGGCTGGGGATTTGAACTTGCCACCTTAGGTGTATGTGGCTGGCGCCTTAGCCGCTTGAGCCACAGGTGCCAAGCCAAAAGTAAAATTTCTTAATAAACTCTTGTCCTCTGGCAGTAACAGTTTCAGTTACTATCCTCTGATGAAACACTCCCTAATCTTTGTCCACAAACTTTTTGAGCTTTGGACCACTTATGTAAAGCCACCTACAAAAAGATGTTTGCTTAACTGAGAAACTATTTAAAACTCAACCCACTGGAACCAACTATAAAAGTGCAGAGAATTCAAATAGACTTCAAGAGCTAAGAGGGCTGTTCCTAAGGCTGCATGGCATCAGTACAAGTATTTTCTTAAAATTAGACAGACACAACGTGAATTCAGGTTCTGCTGCCTTACTACTGGGTGACCACGGGCAGACTGCTAAGCCTCTCTGAACCACAGGTTTACCATCTTTGAAATAGAAAGGAATAATCATGGTGCAGCATAGCATATAGCACTTAGTTAATTAACTGATAGTAGAACTTTCCCTTCTGCCCTTCCTTTCTTAAGTAGGGAAGTCTACAGAATCTCTGGCATTTCCATCCTCACCATTGTTACCACCTTTATCTCACACGTGGACTACTACTGTAGTTTCTTAGGAGTCCTGGTTAATTTGGTTCATTCAGTATTCAGTCTACAGAATGGTACTGAGTATCTACCATGCCAATCATTAGTTCGTTACTCTCACACAGAGTATAAAAAGTGAAAGGCAAAGAGAGAAATAAGATTTCTATGTCTGAAGAGTTTGTTTTCTGCAAATATCCACGATACAACTCATCAGTTCAAATAATTTGATTAACAAATACAGTAGAACCTCCATAGCTGACCACCTCCTTAAGCTGACCTAATTTTTATAGACTGGACATATCAGTATAGTGATATGTACAGCCCAGTAAGGTCCAGTTCCTTATGTTGACCACTTCTGTCAATTAACCAGTTTGCCAGCCCCTTGGGTGATCAACTTACAGAGGTTCTACTGTATTTAGTATCTCCTTAAGTGCCGAGCGCTTCTTTCAGCATGGGAACGCAGTAGTTTTCAAGATGAGTACTCTCAAGACTTTCATTGTAAAGCATTATTTTGTTTATTCCAGTGTGATGAAAACCTACCACGTGCCAGGCACTATTCTAGGTACTAGAAACATCCATTCAGCCTCTGCTACCCAGGGGCTCACAGTTGAGTAGGAGAAACAGGCATATATAAAAATAATTAAAGCAACATGGGAGTTACTGCAAAACTGAGGCACAAATAAGGAAATGCTTATCTGCCTTAAGGATCAAAAGTGGCAAGACAGAAGGGATTTTAAAAGATAAATGAAGAAGGTTAACAGGCAATGAAGAGCATTCACACATGGGAATAAAGAGCACAATGGTTGCAAAGAGTATACAACTCTAGATAAGTACTTGAATTTTTCTGATTCTGATATGCCCTTTCAAAAGTCCTCTCTCCACAAACTTCTAAGGTTTCTTCCTCCATCCTCATTCTCACCTAAAGATCCTCTCAGAAGAGATGGTTGCAGGCTCCCACAGCTGACCTCTCCACCCACCAGCCTCAGTTCCCATAAACTCGTCCATCCCTCCTGTGAAAATGAATAAACCATGTCTGCTCCTAGCTAAGACCACCCCTCCTCCTCCCCCACCACTTATTCACTAGAGTTAGTTCCTATCCCTCCAACCCTACTTCCCTACTCAAGCATATTCTCCCAGCAATTTCTCCCTTTTTTCCTACATCATTAAATTTTCCCTCTCTACTGAATCATTCTCTGGCAAACCAGTATACTGGTACTTCTCCCAACTTAAAGACATCCTCCACCTTTCCTCACACTATACCTCTGGTTACCATTTCCATTTCTCTGCTCACCCTTACAGCAAAACTCCTCTACAGATTTGTCTGTATTTGTCCAAATCCTCTCTTCCCCTTCCCCCTTGAACTACTCTACCAGTTTCTACCCGTCACTTCACTGCAGCTGCTCTGTAAAGGTCACCAGTGCTAAGTTCAATATTAACTTTCAGCACTTAGATCCTCGAACCCAGGGGTCCACAAACTTTTTAAACAGGGGGCCAGTTCACTGTCCCTCAGACCGTTGGAGGGCCGGATTGCGGGCCCCAGGACAAGTTGGCTGCTAAGCAGGACAGGCAGCGGCAGCAAAAACACCCAGTGGGCCAGACAAATGTCCTAGGCGGGCCACAGTTTGAGGACGCCTGCATGAGCCAGCAGAGCCGCCTCTGATGCAGTTAATCACTCCCTCCTTCTGGTCCACTTTCTGCACCTGCCTCCCTTGTTCTTACTACTTCACTGACTAGTTCTCATTCTTCTTTGCTGGTTCCTCTCCATCTCCCTGAACTCCAGATGTTGGAGAGCCCAGGGGTTCAGAACTTCGGCCTCTTTTTCTTCTCCATCTACACTCAAATCAACTGCAGCCCTGCTTCAGGGCTGTGCCTTCTGTGTTCCCTCTGCTGGGATAGTCATCTCTCAGATATTTACAGGGCCAACCCCCCCACTTCCCCCAAGTTTCCCTCCAGATGTCACCTCATCAGTAACAACAAGCATTCCCTTCCCTCCTCCCCCTGCTTTACCTGTCTTCACAGCAGACACCGTCAAACAATATTCTTTTATGTATTGTTTATTGTCTCCAGTCCCCAATTAGACCCTAAGTTCCTGAAAGGCAAATATTTTTCCATTCTGTTTACTGCCTAAAACAACTGATGACACACATGCAGCAGTCACTCAATAAGGCGTGAAAGACCAAATAAGTAGACCACTGCGTGTGTATCCTCAGCACCTAAAACAGCGCGTCTCTCCAACATCCCAACATAGGAAGCAGGCCCAGAGCTCCGTGCTCTGATGTCTCCTCTCCATCCTCTCTCCTCTGCCTAATACTCCCAGCCAGGCCCAGTCCATTTAACAACCATTGACAGGAGCCTTCTCTCCAGAACTTACAAAGTCCAACAGGAAAGCCCCAAACCCCCTTCCCTCCTGTCTTAACTTCCTCCAAAGCCTATTCTGTTTGCAACTTGGTCTATCTTACTAAATAACGACTCCATCCTTCCCTCTCTTGGACCAAAAACTTTGACTCATACTTGACCCTTCTCCTCCTGCTCTTACTCACTCCTAAATCAAATCCATCACCAATTTTGCCAGCACTGTAATCGAAATACCATTAGAACCCAACTACTCTAATTCCATCACTATCACACTGAATTAAACCATTCATCACTTGCCTGAATTATTCAGCAGCCTTCTACATGGTGTGCCCGTTCTCAACCTTGCATCTTTCACCCAATTCTCAATATGGCAGCCAGATAACCTTATGAAAATGTACATAAGGGCTGGGTGCTGTGGCTCACACCTGTAATCCTGGCACTCTGGGAGGCTGAGACAGGTGGATGGCTTGGACTCAGGAGATCGAGACTAGCCTGAGCAAGAACAAGACCCTGTCTCTATAAAACAGAAAAACTACTCAGGCATTGTGGTGGGTGCCTATAGTCCCAACTACTTGAGAAGCTGAGACAAGAGGATCACCTGAGCCCAAGACTTTAAGGTTGCTGTGAGCTATGATGCCATGGCACTCTACCCATGATGACAGAGTGAGACTCTGTCTCAAGAAAGGAAAGAAAAGAAAAGATACAAAAGATCATGTAACTTCTCTATTCAACCTCCCCTACGGACTTCCTGACTCGCTCAGAGTAATGACCAAAGAGCTATATGACAACCAACACAAAAATGGCAAAATGCTACAGATGTCAACATCTGGGTGGTGAAACAAGGTGTGAGTTTGAAGTTTTGTTCTTTTTTAAAAATTTCTTTTCTTTTCTTTCTTTTTTGAGACAGAGTCACACTTTGTGGCCCTTGGTAGAGTGCCGTGGCATCACAGCTCACAGTAACCCCAAACTCTTGGGCTTAAAGCAGCTGGGACTACAGGCGCCCAGTACACACCATCTTTTTTTTTCTTTTTTCATAGAGACAGGGGTCTCACTCTTGTTCAGGCTGGTCTTAAACTCCTGAGCTCAGGGCAATCCACCCTCCTCGGCCTCCCAGAGTGCTAGGACTACAGGCATGAGCCATTGTGCCTGGCCTGAAACAAAAGTTCTTGTTATTTCCTGGGATTTTTAAATTTCACACTAAAAAAGGAGAAAATATGAATATGAACAAAAACCAATGATTATTTTTAAACATTTGCATTTTGGTGAAAGAGCATGCTGTTTACATGCTCTCACTTTAACACACCAAACAAGTGGAGACATTTTACACAATA